CTGGGTTGGATAGTCCCTTTGTAGAAGATAAGAAGAGATTATGCTTCTAAACAAGAGCCCCTCCAAACACTCTGATGTGAAGGAATCACCTTGGTACATGCTGGCCCAAAGGACAAGCAGCTTTGTTTTACCAGCACTTCATTTTCTTCCCTCTTTCCCCAGATTGTGGCAATCTAACATCTGCATGAAAAGTTCATATACAGCCACATTTCATATACAGCCACATGACAGTTTGTTTTTCCATTCACTGGATCAGGAGCAGCTGCTGAGACAAACAACATTTCACAACCATGCAGCCAGCAATGGAGCCGCACCTCCTACCTGCTGCAGCGCACCCATCTCCTCATCTCCTAACCAAGGCAGGATTGTGAGAAGTCAGTGCTGGCCACCGTGCTGCCAGAAGGCAGCAGGCTAGAAGATAAGTGCTGGCACAGCAACAGGGGAATTGCACAACTGAGCAGGAGAAGACTTGCCACTTGGTCTTCCAGGAATCATAGAATCATTAAGGTTAAAAGGACCTCTAAGATCAGATCATCTGGCCCAAATGCCAGCCCATGCCTGTGGCTGCTCTAGGCCATATCCCCCAGTGCCACATCCACCGTTTTCCTGAACACCTCCAGGGACAGTGACTCACCACCTCCCTGGGCAGCCTGTGCCACAGCTGCTGTGTCTGATGTTGATTGCAGAAACACCACCAAAACAAACGCTTCACACTTCCAGGAGCTGCAGAGATGCATTCTTGTTTAAGCCAGCACAGAAGTTCCTATATAGGGTGTCTAAAGAAAATATTTTCAGATTTAAAAGTAGCATGAAGTGGAGCAGCCACCAAATAGTCATGTGTGTTTGTTAGAAGGAAACTGAAAGTAACCCAGCTAAGCACTACATTTAGCATTTTGAAGCTAAATATAGCAGTGACCGAATCAGCCAGAAGACAGGATTTGAACATAATGGAAACTATCACCAGCAATTGCTTGGGAATATTTTAAGGACCCTGAAACTGGAAAAGGGAATGCCTGTTACAATTCCTGTTCCTGGCTTAGAGAAAATGGGAAGAGGTGAAACATCGTGGAGGGAGAAGGAATAGTAAATCCAAATACAGAGGCTAGGAATGATTAATTAACCATGAAGAAGCTAGGAAGGGCAGCAGCATTAGCAGTGAGAACAAACTTTGTAAGGAACACAAAGAACAAAAGCATTCCCAGCACATCACAGGAATAGGAGAGCTGTTGGTAATGGAGAAATCAAACACCTCATATTCAAAAACATTCTGTTCTGCCTCTGAAAACTTGACCAAAAGGCAGGTGAGGCACGGGGATCAGCCCCATTAACAGTCAGTTCACTTAGCTGCCACCCGCCCAAATGTACTCCTCTATCAAACGCTGATGGCTTAGAAAGACCCTGGGACAGCCCCTTCCACAGCCACAGGGCTCGGTGGGAGGAGGAACTCAAAGGCATAGCACAGCCACACCTGAAGCTCCTCTGTGGTTCCTCCCAGCATGAGCTGTGGGGTGGGTTATGTGTCTGGAAAGGGCTCCACCAGAAACCATTCGCACCAACTTGCCCTGCGTACTTGAGGAAGCATTTTAGATTCCCTTCATCTCCTCTAAATAATAATAATAATAAATAAAGCCCTTTCCCAATGAACGTTCCTGATTCTGGTTTACAGGTTAATTAAGCACTTCAGCTCTGTTTGACATGTAACAACGTGTGAACTATACAAGGATATCTATACAAGGACATGCAAACTCTAAGTCATCCTCTTCATTTCATCCTATGAGGATGCTTAAATCATATCACGCTATGTGTGCAGCCTTTGCTCAACCACAGCTATGTGTCATCTGCTGCACGCAGAGGTGATATCTCCTCAGTCAGGTGCACCAGGGATCAGCTCCTCACATTAGCACACATGCAGATCCCTGCAGCTTCTCCTCAAGCCCCAAAGATCATCCAGCATGAGGAACCTCTGAGTCACTGATGTTTATTTCAGCTACGCTTGAAATTCAGGAGACAACCCATGAGACTAGGAAAGAAAAAAAAAAAAAAAAAAAAAAAAAGAGTAACATTTCACCTATCTCATTTGAGAGATGGGATTATTATAGGCCTGTCAGTGTGAAAGTAAACCCTGGAAAAGCAATAGTTGATACATAATTAAAAGAGATCAGTGCCAATCAAGACATTCATAGAAACAGGCCACATCAAATTGGTTCTGGTGTCTGTAGTGCTCAGATTGTGTCACAAAATAGCACTGGTGCCCCCACACGAGCAGTACCATCCACAGAGCAGTGACTTTGCTTGGAAGATAAAGCAAGCAAATGAGACTGGAAAAAAAGCGCCGCTCAGCCTTTGGAACAGCCATTTGAAGATTTGGCTTCTGTCACTTCTTCGAGTTTCAGAGCTGCCACCAGAGGCACGTTTCTTCTAAAAACCAAATTCAAAGCAGCACTGGGCAGGAGGAGTTTTCCCACCCTTCCCAGAGGAGCACAGACAGCACCAGCAATCACAGCTATACCCTCAACCATGCAGCCTGCACCTTCTCCAAGCAGTTATTAAGCAAGAAGGCCGTCCCACCAGCTCAGAAACCTCTGCCATACATCCAGCTCAGTCAGCCTGCTGCAAAACCTGCCCGCGAGCTTCTGCAGCTGCTGCATATCGCAACCCGCAGCAACGAATGACCTCAACCATTGCAACCAGCCCAGCAGGGCTGCAGCAATGGCACGGAGCGGCCCCCTAACGCCGTGCTGGAGACCCACCAGAGGGCGACGGGGTTGCGTTTTCCTCCCGACTACACCGTTAGCACCACGGCATCCCACAGAGGCTTGCCACACAAACTCGCCTTTCATCTCCCCCATCTGCTTGCAGCTACTTTCTGAGCTGAAGTAGAATTGGTTTTATTGTTGTCACGATGCCGACTGCTAGCAGAAAGCACTTGTTGCAGACAAATGAGGTATTCACTCATCGCAGCTTGTGGGATGCCTGTGGTATACGGCACATCAGCTCTGTGGGTCCCCAGCCTACGTCTGATTACAATGGTTTTTGCAGGATCAGAGTTTTTGTAAAGATTATGACTGTCTTTCAAAGACAGTAGCTTCTTCTCCTATCTCATCTGTTCATGAACAGCAAGCAAACAAAGCCAAACAGGATATTAGGGAAAATTTCTTCTCAGAAAGAGCAGTGATGCAGTGGCACAGCTGCCTGGGGAGGTGGGGGAGTCACCATCCCTGGAGTTGTTCAGGGACCATGGAGATGTGTCCCTGAGGGACATGGTCAGTGGGCCTGGTCAATGGGTTGGACTTGATGATCTTATCTTTTCTAGCCTTAATGAGGCTAATGTTGTTTCTACAAGAAACAACAGTAATATCACACTGATCTATGGTGTCATACCATAAAGTAAATCAGTCTGAGCTCAACACGAAGACTGCACCACTACTGGTGTTCCACTCAGCTTGGAGATCTCAGTTACCACCATGTTTAATTCTGTCCTAGACACTATCATTATCATCACACACACTCCATTTCAATCTTTGAAAACTCTTGAAATTCTTACCTCCCGTTTCCATCTCACTCACCACCATCACCACCTCAAAACAAGGGCAATACAGCACTGTTTTCCCCTCCTGCACATCACAGGTTCAGACGCCAAGAAGAACGACAACCCTTCACTTAAGCAGAAGCTCAATGCTCTGGGCTACCAAAGCCAGAAGGCATTCAACACAGCATCCTGCTTCCTTCAGTTGGACCCAAAGTTGTGTTTATGTACAGCTGTGTGTACATATGCATGCATACATGCACGAGAAGCTTCCCCAAGTACTAGCCCTGGGACGCCCTGCTCCAGCTCCAGATGCATGAGAGGATTTGGGTGGTAGGGAGAGGCATATGGGAAAGCAAGATCTCTCCTAGCTGAGCTTTGCTGTATCACCTCTTTGTGGCAATGCATTTGCCTACAGGACTGCCCCCTTCTCTCCGGCTCACCTGCACCAGGCAAGCTGTTCAGTGGGACTTCAGCTCAGAGGTTTGCTCCGCACCGACCAAATCAATTTCCACACAGAGCTGTTAGATTAACTCTGCTTTGGTCAGAAACTTAAGTAGCACAACATTTAAAAAATATATACGACCATTCAGAAAATTTTCTTACCTCGCAGCTTCTTACCCTCCCTACGTTTCAGGAGCAGGAAAACGCAGCCACACCAAGGTCCTGCAGGTGGTGGGAAGGTCATGGTCAGTACAACCAATGGTAATGCCTGCCTGTGACATAAGTGACAGCTCCAGCAGTAAGTCCGATTATTCACACAGGTAAGCGATTTTATAAATGAGCATTTTGGTGAGATTAAGTTAATCTACCTGACTGCTATTATTCTAAGGCCTCTCACCTATTTTTTACATTTACTAGATAACAGAAGGAGTTTAGCCAAGGCAGTGGCTTGAGTTACAAAATATAAGTCTGCTCTGTTACTGGGAAGATGCACAGTTCAGTTGGTCTTGTGAACTTTATTAATTGCATGGAAACAGCCAATAACTAGATGATTTTCCCCTCTAAAGAGCTAAAAACTTAAGAAAGGGGAAGAAACCCTCAGTTTGCTAAAATCCACAAGTACACAGACGCAAGCAATGCTTGTCTGGAAACTGCAGAAGTAAAAGGTATAAAGCTAGTTCAAATTATGCTTAACTCAGCTTTCACCCAAGTTGTGTCAAACAGCACAAACCCTTTTGAAATGCAGCTTCTCTCACCCAGACAAGATGTATGAAACTCACAGTTAGGCCTGTTTGGGCAAAAGCAAAGCTGGGCTCAAAGTGGCATATAACAAGCAGACAATTTCAGACTTCAATACCACGTTCTTCACCTAAAAGGCAAATCAACTAGTTGTGCAAGATTTACTTCTCTACTTTCAAATTTTGGAGACTGTCTGAGAGCTAAGATGGCCAAGAACCAAATTCAAGAAATTAAGCAACATTTGTCAGCACTGCAAAGACAGCATTTTTACAAAAACAGCATAACAAAAATATCAAAGAGCAATTTTATTTAGCTTATTTGGCACAAAACTTACAAGAACTGTTGTTCCCTTCTTAAATTTAGTACAACTAGCAAGGAAAAAAAAGGCATACGAATACATTTAGTAAGCTGTACAGCATGTGAAATATGGAAAGAGGCACCAGAAAGATTTACCAAAAATCAAAGTGCATGAAAAATACCTACTGAGCGCCTCATGGTATTGTATTAAGGCACCACTCCTTTAGAAGGCTTACTGAGCACGTCAAGTGTGCAACTTCTTGGTTTGGAATGTAAGAGTCCTTCAGCCTGTATCAGAACTGGATATCGCAGTCCTCTGAATGGAACAACACTTCTCCTGGTAAGTATCAAACAGAGAGGCCTCCTTCTGCCCAACGCCACCTCCCAGAAGTGACACTGTCAAAAGCTTTGACAAAGCTAACATACATCAAAGCACCCAGCTTCTTACTTCCGAGTTTGGAGCTGTAGCATACACCAGATCTTTACAATGGTTTTACAGAAAAGAAATGCTATGGAGACAGAAGTAACATGGAACGTGTCAAGTAACCACGTTATTGATAATTTATCAAAACAGCTTTTAAAGACTTCCCGGAGTATCTCTTAAAAAAGATCTGAGTAGTGTTACAACCCAGAGAAAATAAATACACTTCCCAACAGAATATTACAAAGCTTCCTGGAGCATTAGCAATCAAGTGTAATGAATTCCACAAGACTTCAGGAACCTTAGGAATGTAGGAAAAGCCCAATATTAAACAGTGCTAAGTGTTTTTCATAACTGGAAACACTTAATGCAAGTACCTGTAACTACAAACCATGTTATACCGTTGATACCATGTTATACACAGAAACATCATTACAAGAGCCAGACAGACACCTCGGTTCATTGCAGATTCTGCACATCACTACTCTTAAGTACTAGGAAAATTGCACCAGTTTTTGTATTTCAGTTTAAGAACCAAACCACTTCAGTTACAAGAAGAGATACCATAGACTAGATCCACATCTACTGTAAACAAGTTCCAAACAATCAAACAGAAGTTGCAGAAGTTGCATCTGTTTCTTACCCAGCTTTGACTTTGGTTTTGCTGCTCAGATGGACCACCAGTTTCCTTAACTTGCAAGAAGTAGTTTGATATGAAATCAATGCCCATATCAAAAGGTAAGTGGGAACCAGTAAATGCAGAGTATTGCATCAAACCGTACAACACCTTTACTGTAGAGAGCTCCAAATATCTCAGGAGCTTAAGACTGCTTAACCTGAACTTTGGAAAAGCACATTTCTCTGTGGGCATGCAAAGGCATTTATATGTGAACCCTGTGCATTACAGTATTTCAGTTTTTTGTCCCTCTGATGGTGTAAACCTCAAGAACACAATTGCGTGTCCTATTGTAAAACCAAAGCACCCTTGAGCATTACTAATTCTAAACAGCAAGGGCTGAGAGAAGGGCATCTGGAAGTGATCTACACATTATTGAGCGTGGTGTTCCACAAGTCTCACAAAACAGTTCAGTTCATACTTTCTGGGATAACTTTCCCTACACCTTCGCCCAAGTACAGAGTTGTAGTTTTCAGTAACTCCTACTCCTGAATAATTTGCTACCACATATAAAATATGCCACAATAGTGGCAGCCTGGGCTAAACATTTAACAAGATATCCTTTTTGGCCTTTATTAACAATTGCAATCAGCAGAAAGAAAAACTATTCACTCAACTCATTTATTTCATGATTTATACGTAAGTCATGTAGCAACTTAACATCGGTGTTCAACATTTGTGCTTCCATTCTCTGGCACTTGGAGGAGGAATTCACTTCCAGATAATCACATCTTGCTGAAGCATTCCTTTGCATTCGTCCAAACTTGAATTCCCTTTTAAAATTAAAAAAAAAAAAAAAAAAAAAAAAAGTGGAAAAAAAAGTGAAAATAAATAGGTGGAAATACACTTGGTTTGCAAACTTTTTTGTTGTTGCTGTTGTTCCACAGAAAATTCAACAAAAAGCCCCACAGAACCTTACACAAGAGCAGGGCACAGACCACACCAAAATTGGACCATATTGCCTATTACATATATCAGCATGTCTCAGAGGATGGAGGGAGGTTTTACACTAGTGACTTCCAACCTTCTGTGACTGCAACGTTCCTAGATGCTGACAGTTTGTATCTGATCCTCTGCTAATGTGATATACACATCAGTTTGGGTATACACACAGACACACACATGGCTCTATAAAGGCAGACGTACCTTTTTGCACATACTGATCTGCATAACAGCATAGCTTATAAGCGCCTCCTTCAAATCGTGATTCTTCTGCTCTTTAAACCGTTCAATGTCTGCCCAGGCACTTTTCACAAAGTCTCTGGAATTAAAAGCATTATTTCTGTTAATGTCTACATATTACAACCTCAGCTCATCTTCCCTCCTCTGAGCCCACAGCAGAGCAGTTCCAGGTATGATAAGCACTCCGTCTTTCAGCCAGCAAACCAAGTTCTTAGTTGTTATGCATCCCACAGTTCTCGTTTTACAACTGGCTCTACTACTTAATTCTCCATCTACATCTTATGGATTTTAAACCAGAACCAACTTCACACAATTTTTAGCTTTTTTTTTTTAATATTCAGTAAGCATCACTACCATAGAAGCGGCACAATTCAGAAAATACTTTTCTCTGATTCTGGTGGGATGGCTACATATCTTCATACTAACACTCAGTTTGCACAATACTGCACTTTTCTTTTTCAGTTGTCAAGCCAGAATTTTGGTCATTACACTGTGAAAATTCACTTGCCATCAGGACTTGAGACAGCAAAGTATAGCATTTACAAGGCAAATTTGACTTGGGCAATTCACTTCAGGAATTAATTTTATTGGTTTGGTGATATGTCTTCAGTAGTTCTTAACTAAAATGGAGGTAGATTCCTGTAATCCAACGCTTTCATTTGCGCTGGATCACATACACAAGGCAAGTATTCACTTGAAAATTACTTCCAGAGCTAAAAAAGCAGATTTCCAGTACTTCTGTCAAAATGATTAAGAAATTGCATTTACTGAATGTCTTGTTGTTCTGAACTGCTCATGAACTAGTCTTATCTTTTCTGTTCTAATCCTAACATATCAGGAGATACCACATTTACCCCTTCTATTATATGATGAACATGTTTTGACATAATCACATTGCTTAAGGAATGCTGGTTTCTTGCATTCCTGAAGAAAATTTCATTACAGCATTGAGAAGCAGTTACTAAACACAGCTTGCCAGAACTTCTAATCTCTTTCAAACAGGAGTCAGTTGTCCTCCATAGGAAAAGCTACAGAATATTAGCTTAGGACCCATGCACACAAGCCAAATAGATACTGCATTCGAAGCCAGTCGGCTTTTGAGTTTAGGCTATTCAGCTGCAGATCAATATGCCCACCTGCTAAACATATTACTAACTGAACATGAAAGCAAGCAAGTCAGCCATTAGAGTGGGCTCAGTAACTGGGAAAGTCATCAGGTTTTACATAAGTCATATATTCAGACCAGAAGCTAACTGCATGTACTGTACTTTATTTCACAACTTGCAGCTGACAGGAGCTTTTATAGACAGCTCATAAACACCAAAAATATATTAAAAACACTTATAAAACGCAAACACCTTCAAGAGCATCCAGTCAATGACTTGCTAAGACAAGCCTGGTTTCCTTTGAAAAAATAAAGCCTGTTTACCTGCCTTCCAGATTTTTAGACTTAAGTTGTTCTTCCCCTTCCTGTATCTGCTCTTCCAGAACCTTTATCTTGGCTTCCCTCTGCTCAGGGGTTTCCTGCCCGAACAGCTTGCTGGTCATCCCTTTCAGGGAGAACGTTCTCACGGTCTACAAAAAAAAACAACCAAACACCCCAAAAGCAAAGACACTCTAGGTTTGGGATTCTTGAGCATGGTTGTGAGACAGTGTTTTTTTACCAGTTATTAGGGCTTTTCCTACATGTCCAGCTCATCTTTGGACTTAACTACCGGAAAATGCTTCTTGCATGTCCCATAGGCACACAGATATGGGAGGCGTGGTGGCTCACATTAGATTGAGAGCTAAGCGAGGAGGCAGAGCTAAACAGGAACTTGTACCTCAGCTTTCATACCCAGGAACTCTGGAATCTGCACACACCATTAAATAACATGAAGTTCAAACTCTTACGACTTGTCTATGGATTGGACTCAAGTTTCCACTGATAGTAGGAAGTTTCCACAATAGTTTTTCCTCAAATTGAAGCAGGAAAGAACTTAAGTCTTACATTTTGTATAATAAAGAAAAAGGAGTTCTCTAGAACATCAACAGATTCATGAAGAATCAGCACTGTGTTCAGTATTATAAATACATGTTACTAGTGGTAGGTTTCTTTTAGCCATTATCTTCTACGTAAGCAGAACTAGCACCACATACCAGTAACATCCACCTTTCAAAAGGCAGAGAAAACCTGTCAGAAATCCTACCATTTTTGACCTCAGGGAGAGTTATTTGTATTATTTTGCTCGAATCCTATTTCCTGCAGCCCTCTGCATATTCATTAAGAGAAGTTCGGTACCAAGAGCTTACATCACCAAGAACCAAGTTACTTTTAAACCTCAGGGGCCCACAGCTCATAGGATGCCAACTTCTCATAAACAGAAGCCATCATGTTAGTGCCATTTAAATGTCATTCTAAGAAGTTTGGCTCTCCCTATTAAAATAAAATAAAATAAAAGAACAATAAAAAAAACAACAAAACAACCCATCCTGGAGAAGAAAGTGGAAAGACTCACTCCTGTTGCCAGCTCCTCGCACTGCTGCTTCTTAGACGTTAGGTCCTGTGCTGCCATTTCCAAGTCATATTGCATTAATTCATGTTTTCTGCAAACTGCCCTGAAAAGTAATGAAAGATCTGTCACGTATTACTTTGTTTTGCTACGTTTCCCTCCATTTAAACTCTACAAATGGCAAAATGCTTTCTTTGGCAGGCAGTACATTCAGCTATTTATCTAGCTCAAACTCAACAGCCTTATCACAGAATGCCTAACATTACAATCGCTGTAGTTAAGCAAGCTTGGATCAAAGTACAAAGAAAGCTCTTAGTACAGCAGCATTCTGCTCCTCTGATCTTCTTTTTAGACTCATTTCAAGACACTCTCAGCAGTATGAGCCCTAACACCTACTTCAGAACATCACTGTAAAATAATTTTATTCAAAATACATTTGAGAAAAATCACAGCTATGATAAAAAGTATCTGGAGATAGAGCCTGTCACAACAGCAATGCCCCACTCAGTCGTAAAAATCCTGGCATTTTAATTTTTTAAACAAAACAAGCAAGTGTGCTTTAAGATTCACACAGTGCCTTTCATCTGGAAAAGAGGCGAGTTTCCTCTGACCACCTGCACTAAGTCCCAGTCCTGTGTGGGCTGACAAGGATGCATCCGTACTCCGCTGCCGGATGCACGATCGACTCCCAGGGGGGGCTACTTGTGCTCTGGGTTCTCAGACAGCAGCCATCACTCACCAATTTGAATCTCTACAACATTACTGGACTTCTCCAAGAAGTTCAGAGCCAGCTCAGGAAGAGCACAACAGCACTAGGTACAATCTTACTGCATAAAAAGTTTTGCTTCTGTATCCATGCTTGGAAAGGAGGACTGTCCTGGTAAGTCTAGTCTAAAAAAACAAACAAACCCCACAGCATTTAGCTGCACAATAATGTATAGCAGATGAAAGCTATACAGCACACTCTGAAACCTGCTGAAATTGTAATAGCTGTAACAGCTCTATTTGGCCTATTTAAAACCTGAAGTTCCCAGCACACCAGGGCACCACTGCATGAGAAGCCAAGGAAACACTGTAACCAAAGGAATAAACAGCACCATCTTCCAGACTAACCAGATTTTAACATTTCATTTTACTATTAGTCATCTTAGTTCTAAATTCTTATCGCCACCCATAGAGCAATCAAATGTGAATAAGCAAAGTAAGAGATGAGAATGTGAAGCACTGAATTTGCTGCTGTTTAGAGAAGAGGATATCAAATTAAACTCAGCACCAACACGTTAGAGGAAAGCATGATGGTCTTTACTTGAGCTGCATACTTCTGCACATACCGTAGTGCTTCTGCATAGAAGAGATACTCCTTCAGCTGATCAGCATAATGTTCCTCTTCTTCCAGAATGTCATCAATAGAAGCTGCATATCTGGTGAAAAACAGCCATGGTTAAATAGGAAGTTCCTTAATCTAAACTGTAAGGTTTACACAGACAGTAACAAGAGAGGACACCTGTTTGACAGAAAGGCCAGTCACAAAGTAAAACAGCAGAACACTTCTAAGAAGAGTTTTTCCTCTGTCCTTTGTTTTTAATTAAACTCTGAATCAGCTAATATAAACACTCCTGCAGGCCTGTTTCTGTGGATGTTACTACAATAAATCTTTTGATGAATACAAGATTTATCATAAGTTTCCTGCTGAAGATCAGGCAGTTTTTATTACAGGAAAGGGACAATTTATTCCTTTTCTTCAGTGGATCGTCAAGAAGCAGCACCAAGGCAAAAAAGAAGATATGATGCAGAAGAACCCTTGCAAGGCTGGAAGTACTAAGGCTTAGAAATGTAAGCATCACAGCTGATGGCATGCAAGCAGCAGAATTTAAAGAAGCTGTTTGTATTGTCTGTTATTCAGCCTTTTCATAAGCCTGAGAACACAAAACTCACAGCGGTGTTCCGAACACCAGAACATGAAGCCCTTCAGCTCCTTGTTTCTTTGTCTGCTGCGTAAGTCAGGCATGAGAGTTCAGAGCAAAAACAAGTCTAATCCTGCCCTTTACAGAGAAAACTTGAGTAGCACGAGGGCTACAACTCCACAGCTCTTACACTCTGCAAGTTCCATTCAGTATCATTTAAGATACCGTGTGCTAAAAATGGCAAAAAGCACTTTCTTTTTCAGCTTATACTACCAACTGAACACCATTTAATAGGTCTTCCACTAACTAGTATGACTGTTCAGAAACACCTGCAGGGTCAGGCCTACAGCTAAGAGACCTGTCCATCTCAGTTGGCACAGTGACAACTGGACGCCGTGTCAGTACAAAGCGAGTACCCCTACAGATGAACAGAACAAATGAGATCCTACCACAAATGCCTTCATCTATTCTGAGACCGGGGCAATCCCTGGCATGGAAGAAATAAGCATTCCCACAGCTGCAGGCTCCCTGCTGTGAGCATGTGTCCATGCTTGCCTACTGACCGCTGCATTGCAACCCAAGTGCTAATGAGGGCCTTTCTTGCCTTTGAAGTTTCTGCAAAGTATTTGAGTTCCTCGGTTTCTCTTGGTGTCTCTCTAGTAATTATCTCTGAGGAAGAACTGGCAGAGTCAATCTGAACAGTAACTGGTAGCATGACCTGGGAGAGAACAGAAAATCCTGCATGCTCCATAAGAAATAACATCATTTAGACCCCTGGAAAGACACTGGAGGTGTCTGAGACACTTGCACTGAATGTTACCATCAGGTCTGCTATGAAGGAAACTAAGATTCTGAAGAGGCAACAGCTACCTGCAGGAGAACTGCTACAATGTGGAGCCTGAGGAAAGTGTGGTAGACATGGTCATCTGGTCAGACACGAATTTCAGTATCCAAGCACAAGTTGTTCAGATGCTCTGAACTCAAAGATATAGCAGGGTTTTTCATGGGCATGCCAGGCCTCCTCGTGATAAAATTGCCACGCGCATACATGTTCTGAAAAATCCTGCAGTCACACAGGTCACGTGCAGCTCACCCTCCATTTTTAAGTTCTGAAGTACAATAATTTTAGTATAGTGGTTAGATTTCCCAGGACAGCAGATGGAACACATTTCAATTTCAAATAAGTTCTAAGTTTAGAGAAGTGCCAGAGCTTGCATGTGGCAGAACAACTTTCCCAAAATAAACAAACACACACCATAAAAGATCTTACCTAGACAGGATTTTTCAAGTCACACTTGAGTTTGTTTTCAAGGTAGCTCTATGACAAACTGTACTTCTGACTGTCTAAGCTGAAATTTAAACACTACTTTGTCCTGAATGGATCAACAAACCAGGGAAAATATTAAGGAGAAACACTGTAGTAAGTCCTGAAAGCTCCCACTCTTCATGGGAATCTTCAACTAAAACATGGTTTTAGTTAAGACTGATTCCACCTGTAATGACAGTCCAGTTGATGAACAGATAAAAGGTCATTCATTAATTGCATAAAGGGCAGAAGGCAAAGGCTAGGAATATTCTTCTTTCATATTTCAAATGCCAGCATTACAGTCATTCACTTTCTCAGCATACTCAGTTGTTTTTATTTATAAATTAGCAAGCTTCATCCTATCACACAACACATATCCAGAGGTCTTCCATATTATCATCCCAAGCAATAACTCCTTGAAAATTTAAATAAATATCTGGTAAAGACTACAGCACATGGGATAGATAAAGAATAATTCAATTTGTCTTGAAGTTTAAGAGGCAATTTTCCTGAAGTAGCTTTCAGTTGCAAAGAATCCCTTCAGTCCAATGTTATGGGAACGTTCACTGGCCTTGCAAGAAGTCAGCAGTATCACGTTATGGACATAGTAGTAGGTGCTGAACACTGCATTCCATCTCTATTTCAATTATTTTCCTCTGAAAGCAAAATGCATCATTCATTTCTTTAATCTCAGTAGAGTAAAAAATGTAATCTTTTTTTAGGCTATAAAGCACCATGTTAACCAAGGCACAGAAGTGGGAACAAATTACTCAAAAGTTCAAATTCTTAAAGATCTGATTAAAGCAAAATTTATCTGAAAAGAAAAAGAACCAACAAAACAAAAAAACACAAGGGTGTTTTGGCATGGCTCTTCAAACCCTTCCATTAGTAACAATCACAACCAACATGTATGTATGTACAACATACATAGATTTGCAGCATAATCTAAACTTGATAGCTTTGCTTCTACACAAGCTACACTTTATCTGCATGAAAACAATGAAAAATTATGATACATATGAAGGAATGACAAACAGTTCCCATCTCTTGCTGGAGTTGCTACTTTACAATAGTACTTGATTACAAAAGAAGATTCAGAGTCAGGAGAAGTTGTTGCATTCCACTTACTGTATTGCATAGGAATACCTGAAAAGTAATAACCTGGAGTATTGCTTCTGTGAGCACTATGAAACCTCAGACTCTTATTTTGAAGGCTGCGTTTCATGCAGCTCTGCCAACTGACTCTAGAGATGCAAAAAGGGAGGATTCTCTACTTTATTGGATCCAGACAGTATTTGTTTCAAGAATCCATTAGAGTTTTGGAGCTAAATAATTAAGTTTCTTAACTTTCTGTGATTAAGTCCAAGTCTGTGTACCATCTACTACATGGTACAAAATACTGCTATCAAAAACAAATGGATCTCATCAGGCCTGCAGTACATTAAAGTTGTATTCCACCAGTTTCTGGCATAGTAGCTTAAAAGAAAGGCTGGAAGAATTCCAAACACTTCTACAATTTCAAAATAATAATAAAAAAGAAACCACTCTGGTTCTCCTGAGACCTTTTGAGCTACTTAATACAGTATATGGACGCTAAAATTATGCCTGCAACCAAGGCATAGAAACACTGCACACCTAAAAACAACGTGCCCCCAGCTTTCTTGTTACGCTAGTTGTATGTACTTTGGGTTGAGGGAAAAGAGAGGAAAGAGGGAGAGTTCTACATCTGGCTTACATCAAACTATCAGATATTCAGTCAGTACTTACACATCCATGTGGTGGCCAGCACTCTGCAACCCATCCCCCATCTCCTTTTCAATGGCACTCCACTCACTGTTTGAAAAACAAATGAGAAGCAACATCACACGTGAAGGGTAAGGAAAGTTAATAAGCTGCATCCTGTATGTAGTTTCTTTCCAGGTGACACCTGAATGGAAACTGCCTTGCAGTTGGACTCTGCCAAACTGTTTTCTTCCTGTGAGCAGCAGCACTGACAGTGTAGCAGTGAGTCTATGAAAGGCGTTCTATTCAACAACTGTCCCTGCTGCATAAAGTTGTCCTGACAAACAAACATACATGGCTTAAAGTTCATTTTGAGCCAAGAGGGTCTTGTTTAAACAGCTAAAATTACATGATGGGTCACGTAAAGAAAAGATAGGAAGGTTTCTAAAACAGAGTTTTGCCTACCTTGTGTTTCAAGTGTGGAAAGCTCAGTTTCTTTTTGGCAACTATCAGATAGAAGCCTCTCATTGCAAAAAAACCAGAAGGTGGGATTTGACATTCTCAAGCATTTTACCTCTACTGAAATGAGTTGGTGTATGCTGTTTTCTGTTTCCATTGTAGGCTTCTGTTTAGTTCCACTCATTAAAAATAACAACAATAATTTCCTCATTACTGCAACTCCCTATTCACATTGAGGAGACTACTTAGATCACATAGGAATCATTTCCAGTAAAGATAGCAGGAGGCTTGTTCACAGCACCCATGTACACTGCAACTTTGTGCTCTCAGCTCTGTGAGACCTCATGAGGTTTATGAGCAATAAGAGTTACATCAACAAGTATTTATACAAAAAAAAGAAGGGGTCCACTTATATTTCATATAACTTATGCCTAATGCATTTATTTTGTCCTTTTTCATAAACATTCCACTGTTCATGTTGACATTTGTTTGTCTTTGTGTTATTATAGAACTACACCTAATTTCACTTTAAAACCCCCAATGAGAAAGACATCTGCAATCCATTAACCCAGAGAATTAAATTTAGCACTTGAACACTGTGTAGAAGCAGGAGGTTTCCCTTAACCAGAAGTTTAGATTCTTTAATTCTCCAGTGAGATGGAGAACTCGAGCATGCAATTCACTCGTATAAATCAAAACGATTGGCAAATTCACTTTAAAAAGAAACAACAACCAAAAAACCCAAGTTACATCGCGTGGAGTTTTCAACTATTGGTTTTCAACTATTAAAAGAATCTAGAGGTTTTTCAGAGAAAACTGCCTGAAAATAGGCAGTAAGTGACATTCTAAAGAAACAGCACGCCAATGTCACAACAAAAGTCCCAAAGTTCTGGGAAACAAAACAAAAAGCTGAAGCTGTCCACTTCTGACTAAGAGCAGCAGATCCAGAGGTCCAACACAAGCCTCAGTGGTACTGCAAAAGAACACTTTTCAAGCCAGACATTTCAATGTTTCAGATAAGTTGTTCTGCTTTTGATAAACATAACTAAGTTTACTACTCTCTCTAGAACACCTGTGTGACATCTGAAAACTGGATGAACTCTTACCTGAATACTCTTCCATAGTTGCCGTGAACTTTATAGACGCCATACAGCCGGTCTGCTACCCTCTAAAACATTCAAGGTTAGTTTTGGTCATGAACATTAAAATGGAGCTGCTTTGTCAATACCCCTGCACAAACTCTGAGCTGAAGTCTTACTGCTTTCACACTGGCAAACAAGTTTAGGCTAACGTCTAATCTAAGCCACTAGTGAAAGAAAACTCAAAAGCAGAAAATCTTTGAAGACCAAAGTCACAGTCAAGGCTGCACTGAAAAGCAATATTCAAAGTATTTCTTCAGAAGTGCTCATATACAGGATGTGTCTACTGAGACTGTAAATTATCAGTTAATTCAGATTTTGCAATCCAGCTGTAAGGCACAGCCTCTTTCATCTGACCAATGCTAGGTTTACATGCATGCATGCTTATTTAATGTAAAGATAACAAGACAGCAATCCACACTGACATCAAGACGGCAGGGAAAGTCTCACAGGAATTCAAACAAGTGACTTCATTTTCCCATCCAGCTCAGTGAAACAAAGGAAAGGAAACAAGCTATCCACTGCAGAACACATTGCCACAACTAGATACATCCTTTCAGCTCTTTGGAGAGAGAGGACCTGCTGCAGCAGGCAACAATGCCTGAATAACACCTGTTATAACGTGAATAACACACTCCCAGGTGTGACTTGCAATCCCAATACTGCCCTTCTAATTGTGACATACCAATGAGTTAGACTGACGTCCTATAAGAGTTAGCTACTGGTCTGTTAAAGCAGTGAAAAGGAAATCATCCTAGAGATCTGATGCAGACACAGCTCTGAGAAAAAGGCACCGTTAGTAGAACCCCAGTGATTAATCCTCTCAAGTATTCCAGCTCAGAAGATCAATCAATTACCAACCTATTCCACAGCACAGCTCCCAGCAAAAATGAAATCCCTGTTAAGCACAATAAAAAGGCAATACCTTGCTACTCATTATTGGAATTGTGATTTCCTATTTGTGCCTTCCTTTTAATTATAGTTTTCCACTGTCAGCCCATAGAGAATCTTGATGCGTGACATAATTATTCTTATCATTAAAAAGAACATTATTCTTCAGAGATTGAAGAAGTAGCAAAAAAAAAAAAAAAAAAAAAAAAAAAAAAAAAAGTGTGCTGGGAAGCATGCACAATTTATACTAAAAGCTCTGGAAAACAAAATCCTATATATCTGACCAGAAAACTGAGCTTTGGGTTCCTTCCTAGCAAAGACATCCTGCAAGCGTAACGTGCCTGCTGAGAGAAAAAGACATTTTGTACCTCTTTGTAACACCTTGCAGACAGGATCATCAGTGGGGACAGCAGATTACAAACACGAATGTTAACCTTGATATGTGTCACATATGGGACTCTTTCCCCAGCCCCTCCAAAACCTGCACCAAGGCAATGCTGTCCTCACCATCTCCTGCCCCTTGCTCTAGAGCTGGGCTCTCAGTCAGAACTGCTCTTATTCCAGAATACATACACCATTTCTCTCAACTAAACAAGAAATGCTGCCTTGTAAGTGTATGTTGTACTATTTGTCACGACACACATGGGAAATACTTACAGCTCTGACTCTCAGAAGGTGTGATATGACAGACTGCAGTTCATCACTATAGTGTTTTAGTTCAGTAAATCTCCTGGGAGCAGGAAACAGATAATACATCATTAGTCATCAAGAAAGTAAGCTTTCAATAAACGCAAGACAGAGCCACAACGCTACACCAGCAAGATTGTATTGAAGTCTGGATTGTGTCGAAGTGACATTGGCTGATGACTCCCGAAGAAGTGGTTGCAGAGTTCAGTTCCCCTAAAGCAAACAACCCCAACACTTGTCTGACTACTAGTTTTGATATGCAAATGCTGGCAGTTCAGATCAATTTAAGAGATAACATTTTATGAGATGAGTAGTTAACTGAAATCGCTGCTATTCATTTTTTTCACGGGATTTATAAAAGCAAGTGTTACTGAATAGGAAAGCTTAAAATAACTGTAAAGCCAAAATCAGCTGAACCATTCTGTTTAATAAAAACACATTCACATTTGTGACCTGACAAAAGAACTTCCCTTTCCAGCTGCTATCTAGCCAGTGTTGAGTACAGCAGAGGTCTGGGAAGCATTCACAATGCTCCCACCATTCTCACAATGCTTTCAAGGCTCAGCTGCATGGAACTGTAATAGCTGTGCATGAAACCTTACTGAGAACTGGACCTACTTGTGGCTATAAGCAAGTTAGCACAGCTTAACCAGTCAGGTCAGTCACTGAGTGCTCACGTGCACAATGCCAGCCTGCTACTGCTGAGAAGCTTTTTTATCAGTCACCCCAATTAACCCTTGGTTTTAGTTTCAGTTGATACAAGTTGGGTCATCGCAATTAGAAAGCAGAGTCAATTATCACAGCTTTGCTAGGCACTGGTAACCAATTAAACCACAGCAGCAGACACTTCTGCACGCATAAACCCTCCCTGTTACAGTCAAGTCTAACTCACAACTTACTCTGGAAACAGGCAGCATACAAGAACCTATTTCATTTAGGTAGAAAGCCAGAAATAGCTGTACCTAACTTACTAGCTACAGTGATCTGAAAATAAGCAAATTAGTAACATGGAAGAACGCAACTAGAACTAAAGAATGGGAGTCTGAAGTTAGTCTTCCAAGTTGATGGTTAAACACTGAAAGAAAGAAAAAAAAAAACACAACCCCTAATCCCCCCTCATACATATGGCCAGGATTTGTACATCAGAATAGTTTGTGGCTAAGAGGCCTTATTGAAATGAGTCACATCACTTGCTTTGGGTGACCAAATACAAAATTCCAAGGCTTTTCATTTCACACTCCTTCCCCTACCAGGAAGTTCTCACCTGAAAAACTCTCCTCCCTGTACTCAGGAAGTAGAAGTTTTATTACCATTTCTAGTATTTCTGATCTCTGAGGAGCATCTTTTATAAGACTGTGACACACACACAGGGTTAAAGTACATAAAAAGATTTAAAAGCCAGCAGAGAAACTGTATGGGAAAAATAAATAGTCATTGATCTGCACAGTGGGGTTTTGAGAGCAATCTTTTCAGTTTACACTTTATAAAATATGCACCAGGGCAGCATGTCAGACAGCTGCAGACACAAACAGTGAAGATATTTGAAATAATTGAACTAAGAACAAAAGATTAAAAAGCATGCCTTCAGCTCAGGAAGACTCCCTTTCCCACTCCAGAAATTTATAATGAAAGGTGTTATTTACTCTGTTTTGTGGCGAGAAAGCTTTTAGGAATGCTGTACTCCCTGAAGGCAAGAGTCAGGAACCCAGGACAACTTTCAGCATCCTGGACTCCAGCAGCAATGTATCATCTCCCATACCAATACCTCCCCCATATTAAAAAAAAAAAAAAATCACCTTTGAATCAAGCTGCCCTATTATTGTCTCTGAACAGCACAAACCAAAGCAAAACTGCCTGTTTGCACAATGTTTCCTATAAACTGAGTCTTAAGAATGCCAGCTCTCAGCAAAAAGTGTTTTTAAGAGATTGATGGTGTTGTAGATCAAATGTTTATTTCTCAAGCACTACTTAACACTCATGTACAACAATAATTACAGTACCACCTAACTTCCAAACTGAGTTTGGAGAGGCATATACAGAGATATTTACTTCCCAGTGTATTGTAACAAAAGAAGCTGTGAACCAAGATGTGATTTTGGCACTCAGCTACTGAAACAAGTCTAGCTCTCTTCCCTTGGTTTTACTGGTTCTGCAACACTACCAACAGTCCACATATTTAAGAACTAAGCAACCAAACAGAGCTTCAGACACAAATGACGAACAGATCAGTCCACAACTCTGTAAGGGAAATTATCGAGTTTCTTTGCATAAAGATGTTATGGTAATGGTACAGAAGAGTATTTCATTTATGGGAGGTGGCATTTCAATACAAGTTATTTACTTTGGGCATTTTACTCAGCTGTAGTTCTCCAAATCAGTAAGGACAGTACTACAAGGTCTGTACCATTTGCCTGGTTTGTGATAGAGAGCAGTTTTTGTGCTTTGGTGCTTTTCTGTTGGTTTTGGTTTTTAATTTTGCCTTTGGAAACAACATAGAGTTTTCTAAAGAAATCTTTCACCAAGAAGAAAGCTATTGTTTTGATTCAAAGTACTAACGGAGAACAAAGGATAGAAGAAGAGGATGGGTGTGAATTCAAAAGAGGTCTGTAGGTGACAGACTGCAAATCTACCTCTGATAATCAGAACACCCAAGTTTTATCACTATATAATTCCACTAGAAAAGATATTAATTGCCTCACACAGGAAGAGCTTTAACTCCCAGTCTGCCTTTGACCTCCAAGAGCAGCATCACTTCAGCTGTTTAAAGTTCCTCACGTTGCTTTAAGCTAAGGGTGCAGTTCCACAGCATCACAGGACAATCTGAACTGGCAGTTGCAGCAGTTTTTCATCTGGACCCTCACTGATTCAGGCAGCTGGACCCAGGCAGAACACCTACACTCCACACAGCAGTGCCATCAGTTATAGCAAGGTGAGCTTGCTGAACCCTCTTTACCACCCACTCAAACAAGCATCAAAGGTAACATAAAAGAGTAAGGAGCCAGACTGCAGGCAGCTCAGGCATTACTGTGCTAGACAAAGCAAGGCACTGTGCCTTCTCAAGCCACACATGCTACAGTCAGGGAGAGCCTTTTAATAAACAAATACAGGATACGCTCATTGGTTATTATACAACTTGTAAAATAGCTTGCCATTGTAACTAAGTGTTCAATTTGGAAGTTGCGTAGGTGGCAGAACACAATAGAAAGCAGGTGCTGTATCTCTTAAGCACTGTGAAGTCAGATATTCAGGGATTGTTTTTGTTACAATGCCTTCCTCCTAATTTCCTTGTATTAACTCTTTTCGTGCTTTTTACCAACCCGTATTTCAACAACAGCTTTGCTTTCTGAAACATTGCCTTGAAAGATATCAGTAAGTGTCTCATCTCAGTATTAACCAGCCTTTCTCACGTTTGGGCAGATTACTAGCAAAGTTTTCCCATCACATAAGAAGGGAAAGCAAACTCCTGCTGCTCGCAAACAAAAAAGATAGAGGACTCAAGCATGGGGACAACTTCACCCAGAATTACCATGACCTCATTCATAAATGTTCATATGCATTAAATACACACTAAAATACTTGCTGCCACAGGAGGCTGCAAAAATAAATACTATCGGCAAATTCCAGAAAAGAGGGCCTGGACCAACTCAGAGAAATCTGCCAATGGATATCAAGAAGTTCAGAAAGGTCTGTACCCTCTAACATCCTTGATACAATGCCCATAGGTGCTGGGAAGCATAAAGAGAACAGACAACAGAAAGCAGTCAGGCACATGCCCTGACCCTACAGAGCACACCCTATTGCCACTGCTGGACAGCAGATCAATCCATAAGGGCTCTGCAAGTGTGTCTAACACTTATAAATGGAAATCAGCAAAATCCCTCGTCCTATTGCTGCATACTAATGTTTCTAACAATTACAGACTTGTAATGTTTCAGACTATTACAGTAGACACTCATATCTCCTCAAACCACCGAGGGTTTGATCATCCTCCCATTATTCATCCTCATCCTTCTGACCAGTCTTTTAATCCATCAGATTGCTTTCAGTGCCTGTCTCCAAGTATCCCAAATTGCAGCAGAACTGAACTGACCTCAAGACCTCCACAAGCATCTGTGAAATCTGGCAGTTTGGAGACAACTATGAACTACAGCACCAGCATGCATGCATCTAGATTTGTATACTAGCAGACTTTTGGAAAGATCTACTATCAATCTGTACTCTGTTCATGTTTGGAAAGATTTCATTGCAAGCAAAAATATTAAGAAGTTATTTCTCTGATCTGGTGTTGTGTGTTTTTATTTTATTTTACCTTCCCAAGCTTTTAATCTAGCTAGAAGGAAGGACTCATTTTCCATGAAGCGATGGCATTTTCCTGTTTTAGCAACACGATGTATCAAATCTGTTCATATTGCCTCTTTATTGAGCTTCTGTTCAAAACTAAGGTGCAGAAAGATCATTTTTCTTTTCTGAATTTATTCTAAGGAGATAGAATAGTTTGTCATCTAAAGTTACGGTTGTAACTGAAAAGGGGAAAGAGAGGGAGGAAGGATGTGGAATCTTACTTGTCTGGGTTTTTCACTCTGAATGTTGCATTAAGAGCTTTTAATCTGGAATCTGCCTGAAAAAGGGGAAAAAAAGCTTTGTTAATTTAATGCAATTAAATTCCAGTGACAAAAACCTCAGCCTTCTGGCAGCACCATTAGAAAAAAAAAATTCTTGCCTTCCTGGCATATTTAAATCTTCAGACACTGAACAAGTTGACACTAGCTGCCCTACATGTCAGATCTTTTAATAAGAAGTAGAAAACCAAGATATTTGTGTGAACTTGGGTGCAAACAGCATCCACTAGCATTAAGCTGTATAATCCCAAATCTCACAAAAATAGTTCCTTCTTAAAACGCTACACAAATCACTGAGTTAAGACACACAACCCTGCATTCTTTTTAGATGAAGCAATTAGGTAACATAAGACCATATGGACAAACTATTTTATATTTTTCAAACCAAATAAAACCAGTGGTAGAGTGACCTCTGTACGCTCTTTATTGCTAGGAACAGATCCCCAGTGAAATCAAAGGCATACATGGTGTTCTCTTATTTTATGAGTTGCTCTAGAGAAAATATGTAATTTGTATATCAGAGTAGAGCTATTTTTAATGCAGTGTTCTTTTCCATAACATAGCATATATTATCCTCCACAGAGGAAAGTTCATACCTAATTAAAAAGGTAATTAGCTATCTTAATTTCTGTGTTGTTGTTTTACTAATGACTGTAGCAGCAGCAGAGAATTTCCCTAAGAAGGTGGGTGGATTGTTTTTTTCTGCTTGCTCGTTTTATTTGTTTGGCTGTCTGGTTGTTTTTAAGTTCAGCTGAATTTTTAAAAACTGTGCAATGGGAATTCACTCTGAAATAAAAGATACCAATGCAGATGAGACATCCCAGCCTCATCCACAGAGGTCCCAGATCACAACTTTTCGGGCATTCCATGTGCAGCTTACAGAAGGTTCATTTATACCGCACGAAAATCAGAGGATAAGTGAAAGGGCCAAAGTGTACTTCTGATCACAACATCCTTCTTTCTACTGGAAGTCCAATAAGGAATATATCTTGTGAGATGTTCAAGATTTCCTACAAAGCACTTCTAACTGGCACCACAACCAGCTAGCAGTAAGTTGTTACTGTTAGTAAATGACACAGCAATACTCTGTGCACCGGTTTCACCAAAGCAGATTTTAAAGAGCTGTTTTGAACCGTACAGAGAATGGAACATGGCATTCTCCCAGACCAAGAAGGGAGGTCCTCCCTTCATGGCAAATTCCACTTACAGTGGAAGGTCCACTGAAGAGACATGCCCTGCTCAAGACGGTTCCTCCCATCTAATGACCTGAGCAGAAAATATCTGCATTTAAACATTAGTGCAAGATCCTCTCACCTGGAACCACCTCCGTATTTGGAAGACACTCAGGAAAGCAACCAAGTTTAGGAAAAAACAACTAGAGTGAGAGTTACTGATGGAAAACTTCTGCATCACCATAGTTCTGTATCAGAACAGCAGCTTGCTAAATTTAGCTGTCTGTCTTTCCACAAGCAATACAAAGTCATCCACCAACCAAAATGTAGATGAATGAAACCTGTAAGAGTGATTGACACTGGAATAAAACAAGTTCATTGTCACTGCCAACCAATACTCCTCTGCTAATACACTGAAAAGGAAAGGCAGTCGTGGCACTGAGAAGCACAAAGAACACAGAACACTGCAGTAACTCCAGCTCCTAGCCCAGCCTTGTATTTATTTAGAGGACTTCAAGGGCCTGTATGTCCTTTCACTTTTACTGATCTACCTCCACAGGTCATTATATGTCTCAGTCAGGTTTCAGGTAGCTCAGATTCACCCGTGTGTCATTCTCACATGTCCTTTTGCAGTTCAAAAACCACTTAGTTACTCTGCCATTAATTAAAGCCACCCCCTGTAGGTAGCCACTGCACAAACATCATTTTTATGTTCAAATGGCAAGCATCAAAGCCATCAGGGCTTCTTGGACAGCATATACATGGGTTTACTCTTGAAAACAATCATCTCCCTGTATTACAGTTACATGGCAAGTTTCTGCATTTTGCTACAGCCATGAAATGCTCTGAAGGAAGAGTGCAGCAAGTATAAAAGCACTGTCAGGAAGGAACCAATACCTTGCCAGCACACAACATTCTAGGTTGGATTGTTTCCTTGCCATTAACAGCATAGTAACTCCCACACACCACTCACAACCGTTTGCACCGCACTGTTATATAGTCAGAAAAACATCTGTCCAGTCTTAAACTTTACTTACAAGCATTTTCGAGGTAATTCTCTACCAAATGAAGTACAATCAAAGAGGTTTCATACAGTGTATTCCTACTGCAACGCCATAAGCATGTAAGTAAACTAAAGAGTGGGGGGAAATAACTGCTTTCTCATTCCTAAAGGATCTAAGTAACAAATCCCCTGAAGAACAAAATTAAGTGTTGGGGGCTGGGAAGGGGGGAAAGACATGATTAAATGACACAGTTGGCAGAATAAACAAAGCCTCCAATATCAACATTCAACTATAACATGCTCAACTACACTGCATTAATGCCTAATTTAAAGTCAAGTTGGCCTGGTTCAAACCCTTTGGGACAAAATGCACATCCTGCTTTAATGCATCAGTAGCAGAGACAGCAGAAGTGCCAGAACCAGTGGTCTGACTGTAATCCTGCACATACAGACAGCCATTTTTACACATATCTGTCCTCAAGCATAATGCTAAATAACCAGACAATGAGAGCTTTATCTACCCTTTAATGTTGAATAAAGAAAAGCAGCTTTTCCCCAGAATTCTGCAAAAAAGTTACTTTTCTTTAAGGAAAGAAGAATTGTAAAGGAAAAACTACATACAAAATCCAAACCAGCAGGAAAATGGGACTCAGCTCATCTTTCATTAGATTTAGAATGTGTTTTCAAGCATGCAAGTATTCTCAGCACTCTGCAGCAAGTTTTCTTTCCCTTTCTCCCAGAGTGTGCACTCCTGAACATATAAGTCAGTACAAACTTCCTGAACTTGTTTGAAAAGGTTGAACTTGTAGCTGAAAAAAAGGTCTATGGACCAGGAAAACAGAGTTGTTGCATTATGAATACCAGCAAAACGCAAGCCCTACCATGAAAAGAGAAATTTATTCTCACAAAGTACTGGTAACAAAGTTCCTCGGACACTGAGGTTAAGAGCACTAGTAATTTTCTTCAGCTCTAATTATTTGGAAAAATAGAGCTGTGATTTCATGGCTTGACCACATTACAGTGAACAAAAGCTCAGCATCTGTCCCCACATGGTAACTTTTCCAAGCTGAGCCCAGCAATCTGTTAGATTCTTAGTTTCACATCCTGGCAAGCATCAACTCACTGTTATCGATGTGGATAGCACTACTATCAGACATGTTTCTGTGAAACAGATAAGGTGCACCAAATTCACCTGTCTTAGTCCTTTTTAGCACAAATTCCTACAATTCAGACTCCTCTGCTTGCATCAACATACAAAAGTGCTGCAGTGATCTCAAGTTCATTAGCTGTAAAGCTTCTAAGGATGACAGCTCCCACTACTAGCAAAATTACAAGGCTGAGCACTGAATATCATACGTTTTAAACTTCCTACAGAATCTGACAACTGAAGACTTACCCATTACATGCTATGAGTGTGACTTTTTTCTTGCAGTTACAGGTAAGCATTAAGAAAAGCCTTTAACTCATTTTAACATCAAAGTCTTTCATAGCTAGTTGAAAACGCGCATGCTGAAGTGTGTGCAGCCCAGTCACAAGATAGACATTTATAATAATTACCTTTAACTGAAATCCAGTCTCATTCACCATTTCTTTCCATCCACCTTCCTAAAAATACAGAAAAAGAAGGTACTGTTACAATGAATTAAGAATGCCACTGCTTCCTCAACTCTCTGTACCATAACTGTATCAGAGCTGAAAGAAGATTTCTCAGTAAGCTTGAGTCCTGCCTCAGCCACCCTCTCCACCTGATTTCAAGAACATGAGTTAATAACATACTGTTATGTTCTGCTTACACGTTAAGCTCTGCCCCAAAACCTTAAGGCAGAGCACATACCAAGAACATACAGGCAATGACTGATGTCATCTGTTCACCGTGCATGCACAGTCCTCTTGTTCACCTGTAATGGCTGTTCCATCACCAATTCCATATTGCTACTCATTCAGGTTTGTTTGCACATTAAGCTGTGCTAGTGCAGACATACCTACTTGGGCTGCTATTTGGGAATCTCTGATCAAAACACAGAACAAAGACACTCCTAAATTTGAAAACTGTGGAATGCAGCGTTTTGGCTAACAACCAGATTACAACTGTTGGGATTACACAGGAGTGGATCACAGTTCAAAACTGAAAGCTAAAGAAACTTCCAAAAAGAAAATTGGAAGCTAGTACTCTCTCTGCTGGCAGCCATACAAGATGCTATTTCAGGTTTAGTTCTAGGAAAGCTTTCCCAACCAACACACACTAACTTGTCAGTTATGATGCTCTAATGGGGTGGGAATTCTCTCTTAGGAGCCTCCTAACTAGACTGGAATAAAACCATAAGGTGCATTAGAAAGCCAACTGTACAACTGCAACAGGCCGCTAAGATGCTTTTACACATACAAGCCTTTTCCACCCAAATGTATTCGTGTTGTCCATCCTTCCCCTAAACCGTGAACAAGCTCAAGATCAATGGAAGGAAAGAGAAAGAAAGGATATTATCTTAAAGAAATAATCACTAGAAATATATATTTAGGAAGCACATCATTTTACCATACCTGTGTCAAAAATGAATAAAAGATTTTGTCTTGGCAAAGCACAGGATGCGAAGCCACACGTAACAAGAAGTTTTCCAGGCCAATTCTTCTTCTCTCCACAAAGTCTGGATCCATATTATCTGCTGATAGTTTATGCCAAACAAAGTCAGCCTATTTAAAAAGAAGAGTGTTAATGGCAAACAAATAAGAAACAATATGAAGCAAGCTGCAGTCACAGCTTCCTTACCCTTTTTTCTGGCAAAGGTGGAACAACAATATGTGGGTAAGTAACTAACAAATAATTCCTCAATAATTCAAATTCACTGTAACGCCGCCACAGGGAGTCCACTGGGGAGCACTGTCCCTCATTCTGGGACTCAACAGCTCTGAAAAATAGAACAGTTTGAACATTAGTAAGCTACTAATTGTAGTTGTAAAAGTTGTAGAGATGATCCTAAGAACAGTTACTCAGTAAAGATTAAGATCAAGTTTAGCACTAGTTTCATGTCTACACACTTCATTTAAAAGAAAATAATTCTGCTATCTGCCAGATAGCATTCAACTTCTGCACGTGCCGGGAACAGGAAGAAGTCAATGAATTTTCATCACACCACAAGCAAACAGGTAGGTCACAGTCTAGTTATGTAAGTGGCTTAGTTCACATCACTATAGAATTAGATATATTTGTCTTGGAACAGTTGTTAGGCTTCAAGCCAACACCATTTCATGAGCAGCTGAAGGAAACAAAGCATTACAAGAAAGAATTCACTATTCATTGGGAGCGTCTTCACTTATAAAGACAAAAGTTTTATCAGTGCAATAGCCAGAAGAGTTAAAAAGTATAATTTAAAATTAAAAAAATGTTTAAGGTTTTTTTTCTGTTTTGAGAAACGTGACAAATTTCAAGTCATATCCAATCTTTTGTTTGGAATAGTATCTTTCCATAAGTAAGACTAAGGATGTATAGTCTAATAAACTAGGTCAGGATAAGGTGAGCAGGTACAAAAATTGATGTATCTGAACATTTTGTTGAACACTTAAAGCCAACAACATCTAGCAAGGGACTAAAGGATTGTATGTTACTATAAAAGGAGAAATGGAATCTTATAGGATTGAAAAGTAACATAAAAACCATTTTTAAAAGTCTTCATACAAGACATTTAAAGCAACACAAATTCTTTGCAATATCATAAAACAAGCATCAGGACGATAACACTTCTTGGCAGTTAGCATATGCCAGAATAAACAGAGACTTCAGACACAGCCCTTAACAGAAACCAGTGATGTCTACGTCTACCTTAGCTCTTACATGAAGTGACTACTTAACGTACGAGCCCTGACAGAAACCTACATGGAACAGTATTAACTCTGCTATGAGATTATCACAGATCATATGAAGCTGGAAGGAACTCTGTAAGTCTGTAGTCCAACTCTTGCTAAAAACAGGTTGCTTGGAGTCATTTCCAGTTGGGTTTGAGCATCTCCAAGTGCAACAAGTCTACAGCCACACTAGCAGCCCATTCCCATGCTTGAACGTCCTTTAAGAAGTTTTTTTCTTAGGTTTAAATAGAATTTCCTGCATTTAAATTTGTGGCCACAGCTTCTCATTCACCCTGTGCAGTTCTTGAACTCATAAGAACTTCATGGAGTAATGTTATAAATATATCTGAAGAGCACACATACTATTCAATACTTAATTGTGTTTATCCCAGGTAACTGAAGCTGTAGGAAGAAGACAGACGGGGAGAAAGAATAAGAACAAGGATGCATTCATTTTAAAAAAACAAAAACAAAACGACAATTCAACACAAGCTGCTGCAGATGAATACTCTTTGAGACTGACTTCAAAAAACAGCCAGCACACTGCTGATAGCCACCAAGTCACACTGCAAACATCCTACAGTTCATCTGTAGGAAGAACTTCCTTATTGTAGAGTGTTTCGATCTTAAGATGTAACTGCAAGCACAGTGCTTTGGAGAGCCTAGGCTTAGCACTGGTCTGACAGGCTGTGCAGCACTCATCCCTACTGGAACACTGCACAGCGTAAGTATTTCCAAAACTCTCTGGTTTACTGTGAAGTGGGTGTTTAGCAACTGTACTGTTGCTGAGCTGGAGGCAGATCTTAATAGAAAGGGAATTAAGTTACCGCGCCTCAGATTAGTTGCTTGGCTGCAAGCTGAAGGCACAAACCTGACATTCCTAGAGAAGAAACTACCAGTAGGACCTAGTAAATAATTTGACCATTCAAGACAAATAAAAGTACTTAAGAATCAGGGATCCTTCTCACCTCCCAGTTCTGCAGCTATCACTCAGTTGTTCTGGCTTGCAACACAAGTTTCAAGAGAACTAACTTCTGCATGGATTATCTCTGATGCTTAAACAAGGCTGCCCCCCATCAATACAGCATAGGATGATGTGGATGCTAAGAACACACTGCACAAACTAACATGAAGAAAACAAAACTGCAGGCCAAGACAACAGGGTTCATTCTCACTGGCAGACAGAGGTTCTGCTCTCTTCAGCCTATAAATCCAAACAACTCCTAAGTCAGTGCACGTCTAATCTAACATTTGTCGCTTTCCAACTTATCTTGTGAGTCCCTACAGCATCAAGGAGGTCAGCTCAGAGAAGAATGAAATAGAAATTACTCTTCTTGAAAGTATCTGGCACAGACACTCCTACATCACTTGCAAATGTACTTTTTTAGAAAGGTAATTTCTAAAGACATTAAAAAGAACTACCCAGATTTTTATTAGTGCACGTTTGCAATTACATAACTCAATATAGCTCTCTCATTTCCAATACAAGTGCAGTATAAATAAGAAGCATAAAGTTCAGTAACTTGTTTTCCATAACTAACCTCTCTTAACTCATCCAACTCTGCCTCACCATTCTTCCTCATTTTCACCAAGCTGGCTTCACAACCTTAAAGCTGTATTTTTCTTAAAACTTCCCATTCCTGCGCTTGACTCATATTATCACCAATTTTAACATAAGTGTGGAAAAAAAACTAAAACTGCTCTGCTACAAATAAGAGAAAACAAACAGAAATCAAGAAGAATCTATTCATAAATTTGAAAGCAACTTCATAGATCAAGGTGTGTTTGATAAAAAGCCCGTGCTCTACATCTATAGCGTGGATTTCGTGTTAGAAGGGAACACACTTACAGTGCAGGTTCCCATCCTGCAAATACATCAGCAGGACCATCGTGTATTTTAATAGTGCAGCAGTCCATTTATCTTTTGCAGTGGTTCAGGTCAATACACCATCAATAAACTGTCATTCTAAGAGAACGTGGCCTTCTGATAAGACAATGTTCCAGTGCAAATTCTGTCTTTAATGCTTCGTGACTGTTTTGCATAGATAATTATGAACTGGAAGCCATAAGGACAGGCCATTTTGAGCCTCAACTGTGCTTCCAGAGTACCTGCTATATCAGCTTCATACTTGCCAGAACTAACAAGACAACATCAGCCAGTCCTTGGAACCCTGCTCCAGAAAGGAAGGGGAAATCCACAAAGGTACTCGTTACACTTAACACCTTCATTACCATCTAATTTTTTAGACCACGTTATGAACTCTACCATTAAGTTCAAGTACTGCACACCAGTTTCAATTAAGATTATAATCACTTGTTGACATTCTGTCAAACTTCTCAATTTGTTTTGGTTTTAAAAACATAACGTAATACTTGTACGGTCTGCAGGCAGGAAAACCATATGTTTCCTCTCTAAGTACAATTTTAACAATGCATGTTATTCATTGAAGGAGACTGCAGAAAAAAAAGATAAAACTGAAACCTGAAAGCTTTTACACTCATAACTGATGCTATCATAAGCAATTGGAAGACTACATTACTCCAGAAGCCACATTCATTTGCCTTAATTCAAAGTGCCGATGTGAAAACTTCAGTCCACCTAAATACCTTCTTCCCATTTAAATTAATTATCTGAAATGAGCCATTAAACAATTCTTCATGTAATAAAAAGAGGAATGGCTGCAAAATATTAGAGAAGAGAACATATTGGTGTGCTTCCTTCTGAATCCTATAAGCACCTCACCAACTGCAGAGGCAGCACATCTGCTTTCAGACCCCCAATCTCTCCACGTCCCAGGAGCAGCACCTGCACTCTACTGCAGCAGACAAGGTTCACCTTCTACGTACAAGAACATCAGTTAAGAAAGTTGGGAAGCTTTGTCCATCAGCTATCTAGAAACAGTCTACATATTTAAGCCTCTCAACAAACATAAAAATGATTGCTATAGATCAGCTCCATACTCTGTAGGTTGCCTCAAGTTACCAGTCAAGCTGTAAGACAGAGAGGCAGTTCTGCTGTCAGAAGGCGTCATCTCACTGTGAAAATCATCAGCTAAACAGCACACTGTATTTAACTAAAATACACATCTATTAAGCAGGTTAATGATTCATTATATCAACTGACTAAAAAAATCAGCTGGGTGGTCAGTTTTCAGCTCTCCCATCTTTCTCCATCTAATGACTCTTCCCTCCTTAAAGCTCACACTGAATTGATTGTCTCCTGCTTTTCCTGACACACTCTTTGAAGGCACCAGCAACTCTCCATGACTGACAAGGACTGAAAAAGATCTGTATTTTTGCCATTATATCAGGAGCTGTTATACCCCTTTGGACATTTGTTCCATGCTCCCCCTGGGAAGCACATGCTGGGCTCCCAGCCTCACCCAACACAGAACAGGAGATTTTGGGAAAGGAACTCAAAGAAAGTGCCACAGAGGATAAATCCTTCAAGTCCTACAGTGCAGCACTGGTAGCACTGAACCCTGATCTAGCTGGCTACAGATTTCCAAGTCCATTCTTCCCACAGAGCAGTTTTTGTGTAGTCAGTACTGGGCTGCAAGAAGTTGTGCTCCTTTTTCCTTTAAAAAAAAAAAAAAAGTTATTACCTCATTACTGGGACCATGAGGACGAGGATAGAGATCCAAACGCCAGCAGGGACGGAAGCAGAGTTAGCTTAATGGAAATGCTCTGGTACTACAGTAGAGATTGTTTACTTTAAAGGATAACAGGAAAGAAAGGCATCCCCATACGGACTATAATTAAAATGAACTGCAGTTCAACAGAGAGCTTTTAGAGGTGCTCTATATATCCTAGTTAAATCTCAAAAAAAAAAAAAAAAAAAAAAAGGAAAAAAGAGCAGGAGTCAAATTCCATTTGTTTTATACCATATATATATAAGTTTTATACCATCTCTGTTCTTGTGGTTACAAGAAGAAACTGGCATGAGACACAGATGCCTGAATTTCCAATAAGCAAGCAATTGTGAATATACGAGGTTCTGGATACTTGCCTCTTCCCTTATAGGAAGCAAGTGACATGCTGAGCACCCACATTGCAAGGAAGAGCATTTAGTTACAAATTCTTATCATTAAGTTGTGCATTCTCCTTAATGCCATCTTGCACAGAGGTAGAAGTGTTCATCTGTTCTCTCAGGGAGAGCATAAGAACGGAGTTATTTTTAAGTAACAGTGCAGTTTAACAGAAGCTGTGAAAGAAACTGACTTCAAGACTAATTGAACGGAAATAGCTCACCAAAAAAACCCACCAAGCTAATGCAGAAAGGTGTAAACCAACACTGAAGGAGATGCTTTCAGGAAGCATGACCCTTGGAATTGGCTGAGGTTCTGCAGTCTGCAGCAGGGAAGTTTGTTTTGTCTCATTAGGAAAAAAAAAAAAAAAAAAAGAAAATCTATCCTGAGGTGTAATAACACCAAAAAAAAAAAAAGAAAAAGCAAATGAAAGTGTGAGAATGCCAGTAAATCTTCTCACTTCGAAAAGAAAAATAAAGCAACATCATTACCTACATTCTGTAAAAATTTTTATCAGAGCTAGTGAAACTAACGTGTTAAAAGTTTAGGTACTCAGCTCCTGTTCTATAATAAATGTACGGTGGCTGTAATTGCATCCACCTTGTGCCTCTTATTCAGCAAGCTGCACACAGCTCTTCAATTCAAGCTGAAATTAAATCCTAGATAGCAGTACCAGCGGAACCCCAGTTCACATAAATGTAATGCAACTATTATTAAGTGGTCTTCCTTTTATATAACTATAAACTGAGTTTTATTCCTTGGCTACAAAATATCCTATTACCCACAGACAAATTGCTGTGAAGCCCACCTACAGCTACAGGCTCAGCAGGAAGCACAGTTAATAGCCAGCAATTATATTTTTGCAAGAAATTTTGCCTTCTCAGCAAAAGGAATAGAGAACCTATTTTATTAGAGATATGACAAACCCACATTTTCAATAGTTACGCGACAAACATGAAATTGGTCTCAGTATTTGCTGACCACAGAATGAAATAAATCTTAATGAAAGAAGGCAATCTGAGCAGCAAAACACTTCTGCCACTGAGAAAGAACCAGTGGGAAAGACTGGTGGGGGTGAGCTTAATGTAGGGATGATCGAGAGATGCAGTCAGTGTATTCTGGTGCTGCACAAGGGTGCCCCCAGAGTACCCTCCACATCACAGCTAGACAACAGTGATGCCAATTTTCCTTTCATTGAGAAACAACACTGAAGGAAAAACAGGATTACTTATGTGAGAAGATAAGATTTTCAATTTCAATACACTGTGGAAGTATTTTTAAAACATCTCAGCAGCTCTCAAAGAGCTGTGATATTTGAAAAATAAACCTTGCTTCTAATTTAGATTTGCTTCATAAAATTAAGAAAAATATACTAAATACACCTCTGGAGATCTGCTTCACAGCCTGACTGGCGTGTCACTTCACCAGTTAAACAAATGAAGCAGACTTTTAACCAGCAAATGGAGGACTCATGTTAGTGCTGCATTTTGCACAAGCTGAAGAGTTCAAAACTGTAACTGCTTTGTTTCAGAGGGTTTTTATCAGTACAGCTCATCGCTCCTGAGGCAAGACCCAAAGGTTAGAACTGCTAATGTGGAGAAGCTAGAGACAAAACTCCTAATAAAGTCTGATCTTAATATCCTTGCTTCAGCTGAGTAACGTGACCCCACATAACAGGTCACCTGTGACTGGGAAGGAGCCCTAAGTAAGGCATTTCAAAGCTTTGTTTGCTACCCAGTACTTAAAATTGAGAGCTGCACTTGTGATACCAACTGTGTTAAACATACCCACATTACTAATCTTACCAATAGGAGAAGATTAAAAGCAGTGAGTTCTGCAGTGAAAGTTCAAGCTAACACAAAGGAAGGAAACAGTTAATTAACCCTTACCCTAGAACACTTACCAGGAGTTCTGCTCGATCCAATCACACTTCAAACACGAGTGGAGCCATAAATTTTGACCACATGACCTAAGTCAAGAGACTCCTTTATTTCCTTGTGATTCCAGACAAGTCCAACTATTACTTCAGACCACAAAGCACAACCTCTCTCACACGCAAGCTGCACATACAACATTATATATACTCATGCAAATTTATCCAGGCCATACAGTTGTTGACACCATGTTAAAGCAATATCTTTCAAGCACACGTTTTTCCATCTATCTTCAAATGAAGAATTACAGTGCACAGTTAAGCAAGACCAGCATTAATACTGAACTGGAGATCAGATGCCAAGTTTTTGCAGGAAAAGATCCTCCAGAGTATGTTGTTATCACTTAACAAATCATAAACCAACTAAATCCTCTCAGCGACTGTTCCTGAATATTTTCACGGGGGAGGGAGGGGAAGCCTGTTTGGAATGGCACATCTGAGCCTACTGAGAGCGAGTTCTCATCACCCACCTTGTCTCAATGAGGTAAGCAGTATATGTTTCTTGCATGTTCATGGCATTTCTCCCAGTCCGTTTCTCTGCTTCTGAAACGGTGATTTCCATTTTCTTTGCTAAGCAGTCTTCCATCTTTTCAGAGGAGGGAAAAGAAAATTCATGTAACATTCACCGCACAAAGCAAAGGCTGCCGCCCCTACCTCCCCTTTGATCATTACCACGATAGAATAAATCTTTTAGCAGCATTTCATTCTATATCCGTTTGTAAATCTGGCACACACCATGAAAAGAGAGAACTTGCTTTCAGGGGGAAAAAAAAAAGTCAACAAGCAGATAGCTTCAGAGACCAGAAGTTATCAAAAGCCAGGAAGAGAACAAACATTTCTCCTGCACATAACAGCTTAACTCCAGAAAAAGAAAAAAATAAAAGAAGAAAAAAAAAAACCCACAACAACTAACAGTATCAACAGTGCCCCATACTTCCTAACAAATCAGTACCCTACTACCAGCACATCCCTCCTCCAAACACCTGGGGCACAGCACTACTCCCCTCTTACAGGAAGAAGAGCACACAGTGAGATTTCAGTGCTTTGCTTTTAACTCTCTGGGAGAAGGATCTTCTCCCACAGTCAGGCAGAAACCAGTAGGACCACATCAACCCCCTGGAAAGGCTGAGCTCCGGGGACCTCCCACTGAATCCAGCAGGGAGAGAGAAACTCCGAGCGTGTATGCGTGAAGGGAGGGGGGCAACCTGATAAGTAAAAATATTAATTACAATTATCAGCATCCGGCGCTATGGCCGCGGGCAGACAGCGCGAACACCAGCCGAGGAGGAGGGGAGCCGCGTTCCCGGAGCGGACAGCCCCGGACCGGCAGAGCAGAGCCGCTCCCGGCTGCAGCCCCTCCCGCAGCGCAGGACGCCCCTCGGCCGAGCCCCGCGCCCCTCCCCGCCGTAGCGGCGCCGCGTCCGGGCGGCGCAGCTCACGAAAGCCCGGTGCTCGGCCCCGCGGGTAGGCCGCGCCCGGTCCGGCGGACCAGAAGCGGTGGGACGGGCCGCCCCGCCAACCCCCGCACCTCACCGTGGCTGCCGGCTGCTCCGGGAGCGGGAGGTCTCCAGCGGGCACGGCGCCGTCCTCCTCCGGGCGGCTCTCGCTCACTTCGGCCTCGGCGCTCTCCATGGCGATAAGAGGCTCGGCTCCTCGCTGCGCGCAGGCGCCGAGGCCGCTCCGGTAGGCACGGCGGGCCCGGCCGCAAGGCACGGGGCGTGGGGCGCCTGGCGGCCCGGCCTGCTCCGGGCGCGGCGGTCCGTCCGGAAGGTGCTGGCTTCCTGCCCTCCGCTGTTCGCTAAAGGAACCTCCGGAGCGTCCGGCCGGCCGGGCACCGCGTTCCTGAGGGGTTTCTGATCCACCCCCCTCGTTTCCGTGCTCTTCCATTGCCGGACAGCTGCCTCTTTGCTTTACGGAGTCTCCTTCACTGGCTACTAACTTTCTCACAAGATGTTTGTTCACATTTGGCAGCTCGCTGTTTTCTTTTTAAAGCTCACCAGCCCGTTATTTCTCCACGCTTGCTCCTTTATGTCACTCCTTTACAGGCACCGAAGGACTCTGTTGTGCTGTGCTCACTCTCACCTCTGCCCCGTGTTCTACCCCTGGTGGGAGATAGTTGGTACCCTTCTCCCTCCCCATTGAAGCCTCATCACTCAAGAGATAACTGAGTGGGTACGGTCCCCACAGTTCATCTCTTGGAAAGCTGCTGTTATTTAATAAAAGTTTCAGCTACCTCCTTTCTTCTCATTCAGCAGGAGCAAACAATTCTCTGCCTTTCTACCCTTTTGGAAGGATGTTCAGCAGCTCTGGCACTAAGATTCTGCCAACCATCACCGTGAAAATGTTCCTGGTGCAAATATATCCATGTTGTGTTGTGTACAATGGACCCACACCTCTGTCATTGCAGACCTTGGGTTTACTGCCTCACAAAGCTGCAGTGCCACACCGTCTTTATTCAGCTACCAAATCAAACAAAGAAGTCCCTCCAGTTGTGCCTTTCTCAAACTTAGCTTAAAGCCAGCTTAGGGAACAGAAGAGCTGATGGTATAGATTTCATTGCTTTGCTTTCTTCTGCTTTGAGTAGGAAATCTTTTTTTTAGTAATAACTAGAGCTGAATTTGCATACATTTTTCATCCCCAAATTAATCTTTCTCTTTCAACAACAATTAAAATAAATCACAAAGTCCCCTTTGAAGACCCCACAAATGAATATTTGGCGTCTGGTTTCTATTCTGTTGTCTTCAATGTTTATTCAACGTTTTCCTCAGATTGTTTGAACTGATACCTCAGTCCCTCCTTTCCCACCCCTCCACCACTGGGGCTGGATGGAGTTTCCCAAGCTTTTTCAGCAAAGAACAAAAGTTTTTTACAAATATGTGAACTATGATCTGTCCTTTCAATTGATTGATTTAGGATTTGTTTTCTAAACCCGAAGTCCAGTTTAGATGTAAGAGCGTGATTGTACATTGTAAGACAGAGTCTGTTTTCCATTAGGGTATGGTCTTTTTATGTTTACTCAAGATGTACATTAAGATACATACCTTGTATCAATTACACTCACATTTGCAGGATGTGCATACTGAAATTTTTCAGATCCCTATCAGAGATGTAATGGAAATATTTATGTGAAGCTCATACAGGACATCATCCTTCGTGTTAAATATTTTTATTATGGAAACAATGTTATCAATAAAATACAGCAATATTTTGCAGTTGTAACATCCAGTCATTTCAAAAACTATTTTCAGCTTTGAATTTTTTTTATTATTCCTAAAAAGTAGAGTCATGGCATAGTACGGATGTGGAGATAAATGAATACAGTGTGTGTTGGAGAGGGATAATGACAGAGTCCACTCCGAGATGACAAACATGGACAGCCCTTAGAGACAATACAGCCTGGGAGCATTAGAGGGAAGTATGAGGGACCCTTTTCATGAACTACTGTGCAACGAGGAGCTTTGATAAGCACCAAAGGCACCATAGCTACACAGAGTGCTCCTCCTGAGCCACATTTCCCCCCAGCACACCTGCAAAGCAAGCTATCTTCTCTTACAGGTAAACCAAGGCAGTATGAAAGGTCTTCATCCAGGTGATCGACACACCTGCAAATATGATTCAGCAGTCAGGAACATCTGTCTCCAGATCTAACTAGCAGATCACACAACTTTTTCTATGAACTAATCAGAAGCCTGAGTGTTAGTCAGATTTTGTAAGTGTCCAAGCTGGGAATAAATATTTTCACTGTAGTAGCATGGCAGGACATTCAAACCTTTGCTTTGGGCAGTGTTTCCCCCTAGCTTGACACAGCTACATGTGCTGTCAGGCTCTCTTCAGACCCCCTCCTCTGAAGGTGAGTATGACTTCCTTCAGGTTACTCTAAGCATGAGGCAACACATCCTTTGTTTTCCAACCATAACAAGGCAAGCTGTACTTGGCTTCCTACCTTCAAGCTCCTTCAGCCTCTGAAGCTTATACTGGAGAGACAGATTTTCTCAAAAACAATCTTTTCCAATCAAAGCACCACTGACTTCCTTAATAGAGAGAAAGGAACATCTCAGATTCACCAAACACATTTGCTCTTTCTTCCAAGTTTTGCCTTTTCTAAGCAATGGCACCACACAAGGAGATGCAGACTGCCTCGCTGACCTCCTCTCAGCTGTTTCTTACTCACAGCATGGTCCCTGGCAAACAGAGAGCCTACCTCTTTCTAGCTTCTAAATCTATTATTTTTAATCCTGCTCTTACTCTGAATAAACTGCTTTTTGACTGAACAAAGCTAAGCAACTCAGTTCCTGATGCTTTTAGTAAGGTTACGTGTGTTATGTATTGCTCTACCTTTTCTACTTGGTTCTGTTTTGTTCTAGGAACTGACACACCTTTGGCAAAACCTATACACCATATTCATGGGAAATCATTCAGATAATCTCCGCTTTGTCACAATACTGATTTTTAATAACTTCATTTAGACTTTCTCATCTCTTCAACTTCTTTGAAATGTTTACAATTAAATGATAACAGAAACAACAACAGCTGCCAATTTGTTACTGAGAATTTAAACAAAAACTACTAGAAGAGTAAGTATGCTTTGCATCTGTCTTCCAGTGCCTGTGGCGTTTCCATAACCTCAAGTTCTGTTCTCCAGGCTGAACACTACCAGCTCTCCCAGCTTGCCCTCGAATGGGGAGGTGTTCCATCACTTATCTAAAGCCTCAGGACTCAGTTTATGCATCAATACTGATAACTACAAATATCAACAGTTCAAAAAAGAACTAAGCAAATGCAACAGATATTAGTCCAGTCACATAACATGCAAGAAATTGGTTGGGTCAAGGGAAGATCTACTGATGCAGAAGAAAACTCAGCATCTTTTGTTGTAGTCAGACATTAAAACCAATGCTCTCCTAAGTTCTCTGGGTCCCAGCAGGCATGGAGAGAAGCTCAGTTTTTTGCACATCCACATCTGCATCATGGATTATAGCTATGTGGTTCCTTCTTCCCTTTCTCACCCTTCATATTCCTTGTCAAATCAATATCTTTGGCCCTGGGAATAAGAAGTTTGACTCACCTGATTCTAGCAAAGTCCATCTTGACTTTGCCCTGCACAGGGGTGTTTAGTGCCCGTGCTGGGAGCTTCAAACCCATTGATGGGTTGCAGACTCCTGCCTCCCGCAGTGGAAACTCAGACTATATTGTTTCAGGTGGCCAAAATTTTGTTTTAATTTTCTGGTAAATATCTTCCAGCTCCTAAATGAGAACTTAAGGAAAACTACTCCCAAGATGCAACTTAAAAATCACCCTGCAGAAACCTTATGTTCCTCAGCTTAAATCCAACCTTCAGTAAGTCTTAAGAGGCTGTCCAGGTCACTAACAGAGAAGCAGGAGAATTTACACCAAAAGGCATAAGCAAGTCAACAATAAAAGTAACCATTTACCTTTTCTTGCTCTTCAGCATCTTACTTCAAAGGTCATTGTGCTCTCTCACTGGAGCAAAGTTCTGTGATTTGAGCTCAGAACTTCAGGCTAAATCCCAGAGTCACCATCCCTGGAGAAGTTCAAGAACCACAGAGATGTGACACTGGGGATACAGTTAGTAGCCAAGGTGGGATACTTCGGGGTTGGACTTGATGATCTTAGAGGTTTTTTCCAAACTTAATGATTCTATCATTCTTTGTGCTCAAGACACAAATATTTCCCTAAGATTATTCTTCATAAAAGAAGAAACATCTTATAGGGTTCTGTTTGGCCCAGCAGCTGTCTGCATACACTGGGGCACATGGACAATTCCCTCCTGCCCATGGCTTGGGCACCTGGCTGCAGGGAAACTGCACAGCATTCCTGCTGCCCTCCCAGGTTCTGCAGTTCAAACAATAATATCCACCACTCCAGTCCCTTGCACTTGCACTTCTACAACGCAAGGCATGTTTTGTCTCCTGCTGGGGACATTACCTCTCCAAGTTTCCTGGCATGGCAGTGGATCCTTCCTGAATTTAAAGAGGGCTGCCACTGATCATGAATAATCTGCAGCATTCACAGCAAAAGCCTTACCCAGCTTCCTCATTACATGCAAAAGGGCTCAGACTTGAAAATCCAGCTGGCAGCCTGAGTGGTCCATGGGCACATTGAAATACTGCAAGAGAGCTGGCAGGTCACCAATGCACACTGCAGTTTCAATATGCTGATTGGAAAATAGTGTCTTTCTCAAAGTTTACTAAACATTTACTTGTCCTTATTCCCAAACAGCCATTCACCAGTGGTTATAACAGTCCAACCCATCCCTTCTATGTTAATGCTACTTAGCACGTAGGAAGATGCCCAACCTGATTTAAAGAAAAGTAGGTGATGGAAATCAATTCTGGACCTTTCTTAGGACTTGAGCCAATGTCCTCCAGGACCAGGAACATGAGCAGATTCCTTGGTCAGGCAAGCCCTTCTGGACTCATTTTTCCAAATATCTGCTCTGCTCACTCCAGGTGGTTTCTTCTCTTAGGCCATCCCTGTAGCTTCTGTTATCCCAGGAACAGAAGGCAATTTCTCCACAGAGCACAGGCTTGTGTCTGGGCATTCTGGTGTGAATGGGAGCAGACCAAGCAGCTCTCTGCAGAGGCGTGCTTCTATAGCTATGGCATAGGAGAGCCATCTCATCTAACACTTTCCCTTTTTCATTAAAAAAAAAAAAAGGGAAAAATAATGCTGTTATTTAACCCCCTAACAGCATAGCTTACATAAATAATACAGAAAATAAGTGGGTGCAGTTTATCAGAAAGATTCATGCACAGAAAAGAACAGGCACTTCAAATCCAGCTGAGCAGAAGCCCGTTGATTATGAGCCAGCATACATGCAAGCATAAACATACATGCATCACATATACATCACACACTGATTAATGAACCAAAAAACAAAT